CGCTCCTCCGGAAAATGCGGAGGATTGATTTGGTTAACATGCCATTATATCGTTTTCTGGGGTTTCAGGTCCAGATATCGGATATTCTAAGCTGTGGTGACGTCGGGACCCTGAGCCAGTTGGTGGAAGAATTTAATTTGGATGTCTTGTGCGCCAAAGAAAATGATAAAGGTAATGTTATCATCCTTATCATCCTCTAACTAAACCTTGTCTCGACTCAATAAACAATGTAAGATAAATTCCATCTATTCCCTGTAACACTCTACTGGTTCGCTCAGGTTTTCGGTCTGTCCACTACGCTGCATATGGGGGCCATGTTAAAGTACTGGAGATCCTTCAAAATAAGAAGTATGACATGAAGTGTGTGACGAATCAGGGATATTCAGCTCTGCACTATGCGGTCAAGTACTCTCACCTGGCGGCTGTCAAGTGGCTAGTCAAAAAGGCTGGCCTGGATGCTACTCTCGGTCCCAGCAGCGGTGTAGTCTCTGCCCTGGAGCTGGCCAGACGAGAAAGGAATGAGGAGATAGTAACATGCCTTGAAAAGGTAAGTTCGGAATTCTGTAAGATTCTATTTTTTTCTCTTCGCTTTTTATCTTCTCTTTAAGAACACTCCAGCTTTAAAGACTCATTGCGCTTTGATTAACATTGTGGTAAGACAAAGTAAGTGGTATTCAGTAGTTCATCTGAATCTGATTAAGTGTATTTAATATTATTGTGTAATCTGTTTGCTTGTGCTGTTATTGCACTTTTAAAAGCATGATGTAGCCCCCCCCCCCACTTGATGACGGCCCCTTCAACTCCAGGTGTCCACAGTGAAAGCGCTGGAGTCTGACAATCTCGAGGCCCTTAGAAACCTGGTACGCGAGGGTGTTGACGTTGAAGCTGTGTGCGAAAGGAAATTTGGTAAGGAAAAGACAGCTGGTTCTTTCAGGTTCTAGCTTTCTTGAAATGATAAGAATACATTTTGATCTTTTGGAATAAAAATAAATCTGTACCAATTATGTAGTTCAAGATAGAAGCAGGAATTTGAAACATTTATCTAGGTTATCCACTGAGGTGAAATTCAGATGCACCAAAGAATATAAACATACCACACTGGTGAGTTCAAACAGTCAAACGAAGAGGTGAACAGTATTTGAATTTCGTTCCTGATGATGCCACGATGATGTTTACGTGCGCGTTTCTGTGAAAAGAAAATATAAGTAAAAACAAAATGGGAGGAATATAACTCGTTGTTTTATTAGCTTTACGCTATTAAAATCTTTCCCCTTTAGAGCTGGTACGATGAGCATTAGCGAAATTTATATCGTCCAGTATGTATAATACTGATGGTTTTATATAGAAACGCGCACTAATGCTAAAGAATGTAGATAACTTCACATTGCAAACATACTTTATTATCTAGTATATTTGTAGAACCATGCATAATTGATCCTCAGGTTCATTATCATCACACTTTAAAGCTAATTGCTTTGGCATGAGCTGGGCTCCACTTAATCATCCTGATGATCTTCACATATTTAGCATTTGTAGTGCTCAGTTCGCAGGTTAAGTGCCTTTGCAATTGTCACGAGGCTAGTGTGACGGAGAAGATAAGATATTGGGCCAGGGTTATTTCTGCGCCTGTGTGGAATTCAGTATCCTGTATATAGATTCCTGGCCGTCCATTTCCCTGCCTTGGAGACAATAAGAAAAGGATCCATAGCCACAGTGGCAGAGGGAACTACTCGTATACGCTGATCACACCAACGCTTGTTGTGGCCTTCTTCCCCGAGACCTATGGGCAAAGGCGCTGAATACAAATCTGCCTTCTGAGGTGCTAATATCGTAGCAAGTCTGCCTTGCAGTGTGGTGAAATATGATGTATTGCACTGAAACACATAGTACATCATGGTATAGAGAGACTGCAAAGTAGAAATTGGAAAAGTAGGGTAACTGTGTTGAGGATTCAAAACAATAATGTCAAAGTGTCAAAGCAGCTCATTCAGAAATACCTCCTTGCAAAACAGAAACAGTTCATTCTATTTTTTTAGAAACAGTAATACGAATTAATCTGTAATTCCCAACTTGATGGAAATCAACAGTGAACAGGATCCGTAAATGGTTTTCGGTTTTCTTCCCGGAAAAACGTATACTTTTCCTATAGTTTTCATTATACACTTCTTGCTATATCACAAACTTTTCGATTAATGCAATCCATAGAAATGGCTCTAAGGTTATGCAATTTTTCTGTTACATCACTCGAAGAGAAAAGACATTCACAGGTTTACCAGAGACCAGTTTGCCAGGTGTTTTTTTCAGGACCAGGTTACCATGGAACCAAGTGCTATGTTTATATCATAAGAGTACATAATCTGTTCCTATAATGACACAATCTATTCGGCTTTTTTTCCTGCACTTAACATGATCGTTAAATCAGGTATTCGCGTTGCCCACGTCGCTGCTAAGCTGGGGCATCTCACGTTACTGAAGAACCTCCGAGAAATCAAGTGTGACGTGAAAGCAGAAGCGGACAGTGGGAAAACAGCCCTCCACTTCGCAGCAAATTATGGTCAACTAGAAGCTGTGAAGTGGCTGGTGGAAGAGGCTGGCCTGGACGTTTCCCGTAGGAGCAGAGACGGTCTCACTGCCTTGGGCTGCGCAGAGAAAGGCAATCATGTAGACATAATAGTCTACTTAAGACAAGTAAGGTTATTCAACCTTTTATATATATATATGTGCATATAGAGAGATAGACAGATAAATATAATTTCAGGGCATATATGTATGTATACCTGTATATATGTATGTATATATGTATGATAAATATCTATATGTGTATTGATATATAATATATATTTATTTGAGTATAAATATGTATATATATATATATATATATATATATATATATATATATATATATATATATACATATATATATATATATACATATATATATATATATATATATATATATATATATATATATAATATATATACACATATATATACAGACACATATATACATATATACTGTATACTTCTCTGTCTCTCTTTCTCTCTCTCTCTCTCCCTCCCTTTCTCTCTCTCTCTCTCTCTCTCTCTCTCTCTCACACACACATGTATATATATATATATTCATATGTGCGTGTGTTTGTATTTTTCTGCACACACATATGCACACACACACACACATATATACATATATATATATATATATATATATATATATATATATATATATATATATATATATATGTATGTATGTATGTATGTATATATACATATATAAGTATATAAACGGGCACATACTTCTTCGTTTCTTTATTTGTTAATTTGCGCATCTTTGGCTCCGTCAGAGGAGCGACCGGTGCTTCCTTTGGTACAACTTGCTAACCAAAGCAACCATCTTGCTTCTCAGATTCCCCGTGTTGGCGGTCTTGGAAATAACGGCAATGCAGACCAACGCCGTGAAACGGTAAAAGCAGGAGCAGCAGGAGGAGGAGGAGGAGGAGGAGCAGTGGAGAGAAAGGGAGCCGGGGCAGCAACAGGAAGGGGAGAAGCAACAGCCATAAATCAAGACTTGGCCAAAACAGACAAGGTAAAGCCAGTCTCCTTCGTTATGCTTTACGGTCATATTTTTTTTAGCCTTTGGAGGGTGGGGTTTACGATTATAGCAGGCTGACAGGAAACTATTCTCCTCCCCTATAAAAAGTAACTTATGTAATATAGATACACACACACACACACACACACATATATATATATATATGTATATATAATCTTGTGTACACATTTATACACTGATATACACAGATATATGTATGACTGAATAAACTTATATATATAGATATGTATACTGCATATAAATACATGTATGCATATACATACATACATATATATATATATATATATATATATATATATATATATATGTGTGTGTGTGTGTGTGTGTGTGTGTGTGTGTGTGTGTGTGTATGTTTGTGTTCACATATATATTGAAATATATATATGTATATAAATATACATACACACACACACACACACACACACACACACACATATATATATATATATATATATATACATATGCATACATACATATATAAATACGTATATGCATATATATAGATACATATATATAATGTATATAAATGCACATATGTATACATAAATTTACATTTCTGTAAAGAGTAAAAGCGAGTGAATTTCTAACAGTCAGTCAACAAACGCATGAAAAGTGATTGACCTAATAGAATTTTGTGAAAGGTCTATGGTCAGTCATGAGGAGTTAATTTTCTGAGTGAGAGAATATCAGGAACGGAATCAATTCATAGTAGGTTAAACAACATAAATCTCTAAAAGCGAAAGAAATTAATAATTTACTCAATGGGCGATATTTCATGTTTGTTAACCAGAGAAATACCGCGTCTTTTCACAGACTCCTAAATATATATAGGGAGCCTCAATATTTGTTGTATCCTTACTATACCACGGCCAAGTAAGGAAGTCCAACGCATAGGGAAAAACGATCGAACACCTCTTTCCACAGAGTACGTTTGAGTATCAACAATAACTTAACACTACGAGTGACTGTTCAAGGCTTGTCTAGAGCCTGTCTCTCTCTCACCAAATCAGTCGGCACTTATTTCTTGAGTTGCCATGGTGACGTTTTCATAAAATTTTATTGTTTTTTGAACTCGCTACGGAGTAGAGAGGTCTTACCACAATAAAGCCATTTACACTCATCGTTCGATTACAGTAATATAATCTTGTTTTTTTATCACTTTTATATGAGCATGTTTATTTACCATAAAGCACTTTACAAGATTTCTCTTAAAATTCGTAATATTCATAGCAATCAAAGCCATATTACATGATTAGTTTTAAATACTGTGCAAAACGCTGTAATACACACAATCGAAGAAATTAATTGAGATACCATCTGTTTGAAATAAAAAAATCCTGATGTTTCTATCAAAGACAAAATCTCCATGTTCAAAGTTTACGTCTTTTATCTTTGGATATATAATGATCTGGAAGTTTATTTAACACATTTCCGTTGCAAATTATAAGCATGGCTAGGCTTCCCTGGTGAAAAAAATAAGCACAATAGATAACGTTTCAGGTCTGGACGAGCGAAATAAAATGACATAAAGTGTTGTTGAAAACCTAAATGACTAAAACCTAAAAGCGTTGGTACTTTCTTTGTTCCACCAAAGACGGCTCATGTCCTGTTAGCGCTCATACATTTTTCTCAGTAACATGTAGAAGGTGCAAGTATATATTTCGACGGAATCTTAAAGGAAATATAGACACAAGGCAGAATCCTCATCGATTAGATATGGTTCTTCCACACATAGATATTATTCTTAAGCTAATGAATAATTAGATAGCAATTAAAGTATAATCTTAATGCACATGCCCTATTAGGGAAGATGATGAAATAACTCTTGCATGAAGTAATATACATTTCATTAGTCTATAGCTAAACACATGACAAATATACTGGGTGTCTTAATTCGCACATTCCCTATACATTATTATTTCAGAACTATAATCTTTTACGTAAACATGTTTTGTACATACTGTAAGATGCACCAATTTCTTCTTATATTTCAGGCCTGTGTGAAGGAAGCTTTGTCGTCCGGTGACTTCAAGGGCCTGATAAAACTTATTGAAAAAGGGGCTGACGTGGACACTCTGATTTACGAGAATAACGACCAAGGTAATTACGCTCCTAGCCTCCCTCTGTGCTTCCCTGCCATCACAGTCTCCCGCCAGATGGTTCCAGCGCGCAAGTTAACGAACCCGTTCTTCCAGGGATGCGAGCGGTTCACTACGCTGCCCAGAGCGGCAACATGGAGATGCTGAGAGCACTGAAGCAGAGCAAGGTCGACCTGAAGCCTGTGACCCGGAAAGGCTTCACGGCCCTCCACTGCGCCGTCTTGAACGGCCAGCTGGACGCCGTCCGGTGGCTGGTGGCAGAGGCGGGTCTCGACGCTGCCTGCCGCAGCAAAGGAGGGGAAACTGCCCTGGACTTGGCAAAAACGCTTAAAATGACCGAGATAACTAATTATTTGACCAAGGTAAGTATATATAAGAAAGCATATATACATATATATGTTTATATATGAATGTATATATACATATAAATGTATATATACGCATGTACGTTGAGTGTGTGTGTGTGTGTATGTTTGTGTGTGTAGGTATATGTGTGTATATATATACATATATGTATATATATACATATATGTGTGTCTGTGTGTATGCATATATACAAAAATGTATATGTATATATGTGCATTCTCTTTTTTCCTTAAATCATGTTATTGCAATGTGGATTAGTCTACCGTAGCATCAACACAGTAGAGTTTCATTATCCATATATACACACATATCTGTATATACATATACATAGAGACACATACACACACACACACACACACACACGCAACGATTGCCCGGGCCTTGGGCAATCATTATGGCTCGGCCTGTATCAGCTTTTTAGGGATGTCTCATTTAGTTCTGTGACACTCGGCGCTTACCGTGGCGGCGGGATTGCCAGCAGGCGCTCCTGCTACCATGGTGTAAGCGAATCGCAAAGTCTCTCTACCAGCACGGCGGCTGTTGTCGGCGGTCCCTGTCTCAGGAATTGCGTGTGTTCACAATTCTCTAAGTAATGTATAAGTGTGGCGTTCGGCTCGCCGCAATGCATGCAACACCTCTCTTCACGGACAATGGTCTCAATTATCTGCTATGTACAGTGGTAACCTAGGCTCATTCTGTGAAGAATGACTTCGGTATCTCTGTTGTTTATTTCAGAGAGTGCCAGTGGTTCATAGCCTGTTGCTTCTGAGTACCATCTGGCCGAGCGGGAGGATCTCGTTGCCTCTCTGTGAAGCTGCAGGATGAAGGATTTGGCGACATCAGTACACTTCCCCCGAAGTAAATTACGACTTGGCTTAATGATCAACTTGTCAGCAAGTTTATTCCCTCCAATGCCAATATAGCTAGGGACCCAGTTAATAATGATTCTTTTGCCCTGAGCTAGTATTCTTTGGGCTATTGTCAGTATTGTGGTCAGGAGGTAGATGTGTGTTGAAGACAGTCAATGGCTGCCCTAGAGTCAGTATGTATAACTACGAGCCCTTCCCTTAGGGATGCATGGGATAGGTCTCCCATAATCGCAACTGCCTCTGCCTGTAGCGAGGAGGCGTTGTCGGTTACCCTCATGGATGGCATGGCATCCCTTGCTGCAAAGCCGGCGCCTGCAGTGTGGTTCAAGGGATCGACCGATCCATCCGTGTAGTATATTCTACTACTCGGAGGGGTGATGGCTGCAATGACCCTGTAGGTTTCTGCCTTTAGGCCAGGCATGGGGTATTCACTCTTTTTCAGTGGTAATCTCATTACTGAGAACTCTATCGAGGTTTGTGCCCACGGCGGGGCTTCGACAAAGTCAGGGTGAGGGGAGTATATGCCCTTGGCGAGAAGCTGTTCTTTGAGCTCATATCTTACCAACACCCTGGTTGTGCGGGACAGGTAGGAGTTGTTTGCGAAGAACTCGTTGTTTTGTTGTTGGCGTCTGACTAGTTTTTGTCTTAGGCTTGTGTTCCTGGGAGCCTATTTGATCTTTGAAAAGAAATTGTCCTTTGTCCACCTTGGGGTAGTCAGCATACTTCTGGCAGCTACATTTTGAACTGTCTCCAATTTTCCTCTGTACTTTTACTTTATGCCAATTAGAGCGATTGAGGCATAGTCCACAATGGGCCTGGCAGCATGTACATAGAAGGATCTTAGTACTTTGTGTCTGGCTCCTATGAATCTCCCAGACATTGCTCTCATGACAGACAGTCTTGCTTTAGTACAGTCAACCAGGTACTTGGTCTCCTTCTTAAAGGAGAGGGTCTGGTCTACCCATACCCCAAGGTATTGGAATACCGGGACCCATTCCAAGTCTACTCCCTGGATTCTCAGAACTAGCAGACTCAGAGCCATGGCTTTAGATTTGGCTGCAGAGATCTTAAGTCCTGTCCTACAACAATCCTCAGACACAAGGTCCAGATAATGCTGGGCTTTACTCAGGCATTGTGCCCCAATAGAGGTGAAAGCAAGATCGTCTGCATAGGAGATGATCTTGCACCTCACTGGGAGGTTTATGTTGAGGATGCAGGTCATTAATGCATTAAATAGGGTTGGACTGAGAACCCCACCCTGTGGTGTCCCATTTTCAAGTGGCATGTGCTGCGATAGGTGACTCTGGAATTCCACTCTGACTGTTCTGTTCCTGAAGTGGTCACCTATCCAGAGTCGCAGTGACCAGGGTGAGGTCTAGTACCCCACCTCTGACATGCGTTGGCTCTTGGTATTGAGGAGAGCGATCTCGGGGAACGTCTCAAGCACGTTGGCTATGTGATAGCCGGCCGCATCCGGTGCCTGGTATGGAGCTAGGATGGGATGGTGTGCATTGAAGTCTCCCTCAATGATCACTCGGTCTTGTACAGCAGATGCACAGACCTGGCTGATATCTAAGCCACTACAGCCTGGCCAGTTATACACGTTGTACAGTTTCAGGGCCCCCCCCCCCGGCCAGGGAGATCTCGACGGCAAGAGATTCTACCTCGTCTCCACAGTGCGGTGCATCGGCTATTGCGGAGTAGGGGATTGTTGCTTTGACAAGGGTGATCAAGCCTCTTTTGCCATCTGATTGTGGCAGCATGAAGACCTGATACCCTGAGAAGCGAACAGTGCCCTCTATTCATGTCTCCTAGAGCATGACAATGCCAATGCTCCTTGATCGCACTACTGCTTTGAGAATGGCATTCCTTTCAGAGAAGCCATTTATGTTCTACTGTAGGATGCTTAGATTGTGTGCCATGATGTTACTAGACAATAGTTACATCTGAGACATCATCACAATCGGACTCTGACATCATTGCGAAGTCCTCGCTGGTTGAGGGGTCTTCATCTGTTGTCAGGCTATCCCTGGTTCCACTGGGGGGGTGGAGAGCCTTTGGTAGCTCTGACTTTGGTTGCTTTGGCTTTTCTCTCAGGCTTTTTATCTGTGTTTCTCTTTACTGGTCTTGCCTGGGCAAGGTCAGTGTGCTCTGGCTCTGGCTGCACAGATTCAGCCTTTTTTGGCTGTGATGGCATGGGAGTCTCATCCTGGTGTGTGGGTGTGGCTGGTTTCGCTCTTTCCAGCTTTCTTCCCTTTAGGACTGCGACAGTCTGGGTCATTGCCGTCATGGCGACCGTGACTGCCGTCTCTACCTCTTCACTTGTCCTCCCCAGGGCTGTTGCCACCGCTGTGACTACAGCAGTCACCACGAGAGTCATGTCTGCCTCATCAAAGAGATCATCGTCTCTTGGGGAGGGCTTTGAAGCGTTCTTAGAACCTTTATTCCTTTGGCTCTTTCTCTGCTTCTTTGGCATGTCCGGAAACTCCTTTATATTGGAGACGTTCGGTGTCGGCTGTGGGGCGGCTTCCTTCCTCTTAGGAGGTCGGGAGGCCTTTTCACTTTTGTTCCTGCCCCAGACATGTGTGCCTGGGGAAGCAGGAATGAAGTCTGGTCGCTTCTTAGCAACCTCTTGTCGCCTGAGGGCCGCCTCTTTCCTGACAGAGCATGTCAGGCTCCAGGCGTGATGCCTCTTGGCACAGTTAGGACATTTAGCTGTTGTGTCCCTCTTTTCGTCTTTGTAGGCCTTCAGGCACACCTCTGTGTTGTGTGCCTTGCTACAGACACCACATCTAGGCTTGGCTGTGCAGCTAGACTGGTGGTGGCCGTATCTTTGGTACTTAAAACACCGAAGTGGTTTAGGCATGTATGTTCGAAGGTTGTAGGTGCCCCAGTTACCCAGATCAAGGGTAGTGGTTGGGGCGACTTTCATAGTCACCAGGACTTGCCTGGTTGGAGTCTTCCCTACTGACATTCGGGAAGCCTCCACCACCTTTCATAGTCACCATGACTTGCCTGGTTGGAGTCTTCCCTACTGACATTCGGGAAGCTTCCACGACCTGAGGATGTGAAGTGATCAGCTCCACATCATAAGAGACTGAGAAGCCAAGTAGCACCATCTTGGTTCTCTTATCCTCGGGAGTTAATGGGGAAAGACTCACTTTTCTCCCATCTTTCAACTCTTTGGTTTCTCGGAGGAAATTCAAGGTGACATGATCCTTCGGCATTATGATCATGCCTTGATCTCTGGTAACCCGGATTAAAAGCCGAATTTGCCTCTGCATCTCCAATGCTCTCACCAATTGGTAGGCATTGTTGAAGCCTTCGGGTATAGCTGGCACTTTGAACTGAGGGAAACGACTGGTGGGGGGTCCAGACTCTCCATCAGAGTTTGTCTCCGGCCTTGGTCGCATCGGCCCGCCCTTTCGGCTTGGGGGCTTGTTCGTGGAGGCAGCAGCTGATTCGGCTGGTCCAGCCTGTGCTCCCATTTCAGTCGGGGAGGCCGTCTGAGGGGGACTCAGGGGCCTCCCTGGCTTGGCTGCTGGTCTGGAGACCAGCACGAGAGTCAATCTGCTTTATAAGCTGATGGACAGAGTTGGGTTTTCTTTCGCCATCTGGAGCCACATATGGCTCCAGGGTGGCTGCCATGCTTGAGTCATCAACTTTTTGATCTGTCAGTGAGGGGTTTTGTTTTAATTTTTCCATGCATTTGGACAGTGCTTCATCCTCTCACGCCCCCACCCACCACGGAGTTCAACAAGGGGAAGCTGTGTGTCAGAGCCAGTGTCTGACAGCCACAGGGGTGATGAGAGGATATATGCAACCAATAACCATTGTGGCGGTGCTCATGGACCATTGTGAGTGCCAATGGAGACAAGACTGCTTAGCCCTAGCCTCCCGTGGGAGACCAGCCAATTAACCGTATCCGTGCCGGGATCAGGCTGTCTGTCTTGCTGGAATAGAGGCCCAAAGATGCGTGTTGCTAGCCGCAGAGCGTACTCATTCACAGCATCGCTCAACCTCCAGGACTCCTGTCTCCACAGCGCACAAAGCTGCCACGCACGGCAAACGCGTGTGTAGGAGTGCACCCCTGGGGAGAGACCAGAGGGCATCATTGCTTGGGACCCTAGTGCTCGTCCCTCTGAAGCAGCCACCCAAAGGGTGCTTCACCTCAATGAAGGATGGAGCTCTTTCACTTTTTCAGGGGGTTTCTGTCTTCCTTCTGAAACAGCCACCCAAAGTTTGTTTCACCACAGTGAGGGAGGAGAGGTCCTGTACCTTTTCAAAGTGATTCCCTCTTCCCTCTGAAACAGCCATCCAAAGGCTCTTTCACCGCATTGAGGGAAGAGGAATCCTGCACCTTTTCAGCCCTCAGAAAGTGGCCACGCAAATGCTGCTTTCCCACAGTGAGGGAGAGAAGCTAACTTGCAAGGTGGCAGGACAGGAAGGCGGTGTTCTGTCTAGCAGCAGCTATTGTGACAGAGGCGCTGTAGGAGCGTGTGTAGGTGTGAACCCCTGGGGAGAGACCAGAAGGGAAGTCCTTCCACCTACTGAACATCATTGTTTGGAGCCCTTTTGCTCATCCCTCAGAAGATGCCACCCAAAGGTTGCTTCTCAGTGAGGGAGGAAAGGGCCTGTACCTTTTCAAAGTGATTCCCTCTGAGACAACCATCCAAAGGCTGTCTCACTTCAGTGAGGGAAGGGAGCTCTTTCACTTTTACCAGAGAGTTCTTCTCATCCCTCTGAAACAGCCACCCAAAGGCTGTTTCAACACAGTGAAAAAGGAGGAGTCCTGCACCTTTTCAAGGAAGCTTCTACAGCCCTCAGAAGCAGCCACCCAAAGGCTGATTCACCACAGTGAGGGAGAGAAGCTAACTTTCGAGGCAGTTCCAGTGGCGGGACGGGAAGGCAGTGTTCTGTCTAGCAGCAGCTATTTTGATAGAACTTATGCCAAAGGGAGGGGCTCCTACCTGCCTATCATCCTAAACGAATAACTAGAGTGGCAGTCATCAGATGGTCTGCCAGACCAGTCCCTAACAAAAAGAATGGCAACTCTCTGTGCACCGTAAGGCAGGCACGCTAAGGCCCCCCATACACACCCTCCCCTGCGGGAGCACGCGCCCGAAGATGGGATCCAGTTCACCAGAAGGTGCGCAGAGAGTTATCCTAATGCCGAAAAAATTCGTAAAGGAAAGCATAGGCTAGGGGGCACGAAGCTAAATGCAGAGCAAGCAAATAGCGGCAGCAACGAGGGGTGGACGCCAAAGCGTCGCGGCAATGCGTAAGAGCCGAGGTGGTGTTTGCCGGGGGGTGGCTCCAGTCAATCTCTTTAAAAACGCCTCCGGCAAAATTCCTGTAATTGAGGCATCACGGTGATTCCCTTCGCACTATCGGCTGGCTTGGCGCCACCCACTGCGCTCGGGGCATCACGGTGACCCTCTTCGCATGATGGCTGGGCATCACGGTAACTCTCTTTGCGTTATCGGCTGGCTTGGCGCCACCCACTGCGCCCCGTCGATCTTCTTATCCGGTACGATAGTCCCATCGCTCTGAATT